AATTTCATTGTATTAAGTGTGGTGTTTACAAGATTTCATAGTGTTAAGTGTGGTGTTTACAAGATTTCATTGTATTAAGTGTGGTGTTTACAAGATTTCATTGTATTAAGTGTGGTGTTTACAAGATTTCATTGTACTTAAGTGTGGTGTTTACAAGATTTCATTATATTAAGTGTGGTGTTTACAAGTTTTCAATTATATTAAGTGGTATGTTTATAAAATTCCATTGTATTAAGTGTGGTGTTTACAAGATTTCATTGTGTTAAGTGTGGTGTTTACAAGATTTCATTGTATTAAGTGTGGTGTTTACAAGATTTCATTGTATTAAGTGTGGTGTTTACAAGATTTCATTATATTAAGTGTGGTGTTTACAAGATTTCATTGTGTTAAGTGTGGTGTTTACAAGATTTCATTGTATTAAGTGTGGTGTTTACAAGATTTCATTATATTAAGTGTGGTGTTTACAAGATTTCATTGTACTAAGTGTGGTGTTTACAAGATTTCATCGTATTAAGTGTGGTGTTTACAAGATTTCATTGTATTAAGTGTGGTGTTTACAAGTTTTCATTATATTAAGTGGTATGTTTATAAAATTCCATTGTATTAAGTGTGGTGTTTACAAGATTTCATTGTGTTAAGTGTGGTGTTTACAAGATTTCATTATATTAAGTGTGGTGTTTACAAGTTTTCACTGTATTAAGTGTGGTGTTTACAAGATTTCATTGTACTAAGTGTGGTGTTTACAAGATTTCATCGTATTAAGTGTGGTGTTTACAAGATTTCATCGTATTAAGTGTGGTGTTTACAAGATTTCATTGTATTAAGTGTGGTGTTTACAAGATTTCATCGTATTAAGTGTGGTGTTTACAAGATTTCATCGTATTAAGTGTGGTGTTTACAAGATTTCATCGTATTAAGTGTGGTGTTTACAAGATTTCATCGTATTAAGTGTGGTGTTTACAGGATTTCATCGTATTAAGTGTGGTGTTTACAAGATTTCATCGTATTAAGTGTGGTGTTTACAAGATTTCATCGTATTAAATGTGGTGTTTACAAGATTTCATCGTATTAAGTGTGGTGTTTACAAGATTTCATTGTATTAAGTGTGGTGTTCACAATATGTCAAAACAAAACAATTTATTCAGAACTCTTTTCACCGGTATTTGGACGAGTGTTTTTTTAGGCAAGACGCACTGTGAATGAAGCTTGCACACAAATAAATCTACACATTTTATTTTATCTGGTCTTGAAAAATCAACGTAAACTGTCAATCCTAAAAATATACAGCTTGAAGGGAGGGAACGAGATTGGTTTGAATCACTGTTTTTATGCAAATTCGTGCGGCCATCTTGGGACACACTGTCTATTGTCTAAACTTTAAAACCACAAAATTGGGTTTTATGCGGACGGTTTGGGTTAACATAGGTTTGCCCCAAGTGTTTGAATATGAGATCACCCCTTAGAACTTGTAAAAGATAAAATAGCACACAATATATTAATGCACAATACAGACATGGCATGTACCTGACAGCGCATACATAGCAGCAAGAGCAGCAAGAGGGACACTTAAACGATTGTAGACAGCAAGAATCAAATGCTCATAAATAAGCCTGTCACTGCAGGACAGGACAACTAAGAATTAATTGTACAACCAGGAAAATATAAAATACATACTTTTCACTGTTTTTACATCTGTAGCACGAACGATATAAACACTTGCTCTGTACTGAAATGGATCAGATACTCCTTGCTGGGTGAAACTTAACGTCCATAAACCTTCTTCAATGTATCCACAGTGAGAGAATGAATTGGTGAATGTTGTGGTGTCGGGTGGAGCCTAAGAAAAAAAAACATAGAGAAACTATTTAAGCCTTGTCCATCTACTAAACTATGACATAAAAAACATAGAGAACTTATTTGAGCCTTGCCCATCTACTGAATTCTGACATAAAAAACATAGAGAAACTATTTGAGCCATGCCCATCTACTGAATTCTGACATAAAAAACATAAAGAACTTTTTTGAGCCTTGCCCATCTACTGAATTCTGACATAAAACATAGAGAAATTATTTAAGCCTTGCCCATCTACTAAATTCTGACATGAAAACCATAAAGAAACTATTTAAGCATTGCCCATCTACTAAATTCTGACATAAAAACCATAGAGAAACTATTTAAGCTCTGCTCATCTACTGAATTCTGACATGTTGTGATATGTCTTTTCTTTTTACATCTGAGATTTAACAATTAGCGACTTCTGCTGGAAATTCAGCAGGTGTAGCAATTATTCGGTTTTCATTTTGAGAAATCATTTTTAATTGTTCCAAAATAAAAAATTTAAAACATTATAAAAATACAGTTATGAAATAAACAACATCAATTTGGACATAACATGTCTGACAAATAGAATATCTGAAATTTTGCAATAAAATGAACACATCCACTGCATGTGTAATGACGGACACAATTTGTAATTGCTTGATATGGCATATTGTACCCACAATCCCCTGCAACTGTTGCGTAATTGCCCCCATCTGAACATGAAGACAAAGAACAAAACAGACACATTTTGTTTCTAAAATATGTCATAATGACATGCAAATTGTTCACATACTTTAGTTTTTTTGCCAAGTGTTTCCTTTTCGGGCGCCGCTCTGCTGTGTGTAAACTTCATAGTTCTCATACACCGTGCTTTGCCAGATGGCTCAATAAGGGTAGCATTAAAATCTAGGGTTTCCGTTCCAATTAGAGGAAACCTGGCATAGTTGTAGTTTTTATTGCGTGGATTGACTCCATAGCCTATAATAAAAGAAATATGTATTTCAAAGTGTAATAGTTATCACATCGCATCCAGTCAAAAAAAACGTCTCATTCATTGAGAGTGTTTGTTAGCAATGAGGTATTTCTAATACCAAATAATAATATTTCTAATACCACTGAATCAAGCAAGTTAACAAGAATGAGAAGAACTGCTTGACCATCAACACCCACTATCATATATTGTGAAAGTGTCACTTGTAGTGATAGTATGTAATGTTCAGTCACATGAACAGGGTTAAGATTGCTCAATACAGTTTCACAAAAGTCTTTGGGATATTGTTTATATTTTGCGAATAGATTGCTTACTGCCTTTCAAGATCATATGTGGAAAAAAATGATGGTACAAACCTATTTTTTTGTGATCAACATAATATTACTGTATATAGATTAATACGTGGGACTCTATGGAGGGAAAAGTTAAAACATGACCTGTTTTTTTATTTTTAAAACCCAAAGTAATGAAACAATAAGTCTAGAACTCTATTTTGAAAAAAAAATTAAAAAATAGGACCTATTTATGAAAATATGATGGTTGATAAAACGTTTCTCATGCACACAACAAATCTTGCATTTCTACTTCAAACCCAACAAGTTTGGGAAACTGTATCAAGCAATCTTAATCAATAATACTATTACCCAGCTGAATCAGAATTTTTTTTTTAAATTTGTAAAAGTGAGAATTTCACCCATGTCCTTTAAACAGGGAGTCGTAACAGTAGTTGTTCACTCACAAACTCAAATTACGAAATCAAGAAAATTTCTATTGTCGACAATTTAACATTTTAATTTAACATTTCCAAATATTTGACTCACGTTTCAAGGTGTTTTCATCACTGCACGCTAGATTACGACCATCCTCGTCTTCATTCCTGGGAATCCGAAACAAAGCGTTCACGTATATGGTATCAGTGGATGAAACATCATATGGCACAAATGTCTGTGCCACCTTCTCCATCACAGATCCAACGGTCCTACGAGTGAGAACCATTATCAACGAGTATACATGTTCATACATTCCAATACAGATACCCTATTTATTTTTATTTTTATTTATTTTTAGAACATCACTAAGTAGTGTACAAGCCAGAACACTTGTTTGGTAAGATATTAAACAGTGGTTTTCACGCCACGTCCTATTCGATATGGGACCCCATTGATTGTTTACACCAACCACCTGCCTTTGAGTTACATCAAACTCACACTGGGTTATGTGTGCAGACTTTTTTACAAACAGTGTAAATACTATATTGCAATCAAGCGAGACAATGCTCGAATTTCACAAATTTCGAAATCAGTGAAGATCAAGAAATTTGTAGCAGTAATAATTACACTGGGGCAAAAAATTCTACTGTAACTACTGTAACACTACCATATTTGCTTTACTGTAAAATACTTTATTTTCGCTTGGAATAAATTTTCACTGAAGGAATGATTCAGTGAAAATAAAATCTAGCGAATATACCTTTTTTCCTATATTTAACATTCAAGTTGTCAGAAATCAGTGAAAATAAATTCCATACAAAACACCCAAAAATCTTTTCAGCTAAAATAATGTATTTTACAGTATTAGTATGTGTGTAGTGCATGCTTTTTATGCAAATGAGAGATGAGTCTATGGTTGAAAAGTCACATTACAATAATCCAGCATACAAGAAATGTGATTTTTGGCTTATGTGTCCTTCTATATAGAGATGCGCTTCTAACATAGCAATTACGATATCTGTCAGTTGATTTATTTAACGATGAAACTGTCTCTAGTAATGTCTCTGTAAAGATTTTAACTTGAAATTGAAATTCAAAGTGCTTGGAACAGAAAACTGAAAAAATAAATGTTTGGTGTCTCACACAGCATATAAGCAGAGTCTCTATTTTTGACATTTTTATGTAAAATCAATATATACAAAGTGACATGAATACGTACCATCCGCCTTTACCAGCAGCTTTCACGACAGTAGATAACTGCAGCGCCCTCAGGTGACCATCACTAAAACATTCTGAATGTGCCTTAGGAATCTAGGAGTGACAGACACAGATTATCACGACTTAATAACTACATGTGTGTAAAAGATGACAATGTTATTTCTTCAAGCTAGTCATTAAGTCAGGTTGCCATAGAAACATACTGACATTATGTCCTGCTGTGAAGTTTGTGAAATGATAATACAGAGAATGAAAGTTATAATACATATTGATTTTAAATTTAGTAAAAATAAAATGACGTACCACAGAAGATCGAAGTAATTTTGCTGTGCCATTAATGCTGCCATCAAACTCGATCTGAAGAAATAAAAAAAATGTATATGAAGAATTCGCATTCAATTCAAATAGCAGACACAAGTCATGGCAAGACATTACAGAGTCACTTTTTTTAATGGAGATCAAAATGTCATTCAGTCAGTCATTTTGAATCTGATGTGAGAGAAAAAAATGACACACATCAAGCTTCCAAAATGTCCGTACCAAGTTGGAACGAAATCCATCAACACATAACAGTAGTTTTTAAGACAAAAAGGACACCATTCTGCCATCTTGAATTGGATCGTATATCAATGGATGTGCATACATGTAATATACGGTATGATATGCATAAATGAAGTTTGAATATGATTGGTCCAGACATGTCCAAGATACAGGTGGCAATGCACTGACAGATGCACACACGTATGCATGCATGAACACAGAAGTCAATCCTTATTTGGGGGTCTGTCTAAATGGGTTCAAATCGGCAGGTGTCTTTAGAACTAGGATTAGGATTCTCGTACAACTTTAATTAAGTGTCAATTTCAAAAATCCAAACAGTTGCAGAAAACATTGGCCACGGCATCCAAGTGAATAAAGACGTCTGTATGTGATATATTACGACATAAAAATAACACAGTACTGACAAAAAGGTCAGTCACATTTACCAATTAAAACTGTGTTATATTGACTAGACAAGCTGCAGGAATACGTCACATGCAGGCGCTGTCTTGTTTTACAACAAACCTATCACCTAAAAATATCTGACAAAATAGTGAAAAAGCCTCAGGGAATAGACCAGCTAATGAGGGACACTAGTGTTTTTTGTCATTCATACTAGTACGAAAATTGTCTCTGTGCTGACCCCCCTCCTAATTTATGGTTAGTCCCTCAGGCCCAGAATCAAATGAATAAGCAATTTGTCTATTATAATGTTCATTATGAAGTAATAAATCAATTTGTAATAAACTAATAATCAATCAAATGTTCCATTATGAAAAGCACAAATAGTAACTGACAACCTATATACATGTTTATGATCATTTAAATATTCATTCTAGAAAGCTTTTAATATGTATGTGTCTGGAATGGGGTCTATTTTTGAACAAAAGTCTCTGAAATGGGATACTTTTTTTTTGAGTCAAAGTGTCCGGAATATGTCTCTTTTTGACCAAAATGTTAGCATTTATTATTGAATTATAAATATAGACATGTAATCCTGAAAAATTGATAAAATCTGTGTTTATTTTGGCTGGAAAACATCAATAGAATCATAGAATATGGATAGGGGTCTGGAGGTAATTCATTTTTCCATGGTAGTACTATTTGGTTTTAGCTATGAGACAGTTTGGAACTGTTCTGCTGAATGTTTTAGTTAAACCAAAAATACATTCTAGGAAACTACATTTTGGAGTAGATGTCATTTTAATTTTATTCCATATTTGTTAATTTTTTTAAAACAATATGAATAGTATCTATCTATGAAATACATGTAAACATACCAAAAATTATAAAATATTGATCACTGTTATGATAAAAAAAAAATAACTAACTGTTTGTCCTAGTTTTTTTTTTAATAGTTTTATTTATCTTGCTGGTACTTTTAATGTATGATGAAAAAACTCATAATATGTAGCACTACCAAAACAACAAAATTCTATGAAATAAATAAAGACCAAAACTGACCACTTTCAAATCAAGCCAGTATCTAACTTCATGTACAACAGCATTTCTTGTACTAAATAAAGGTCGACAACAAGCGTTGCTATGATAAAACTGAGGAAAAAGTCTCCATTTCTTTATCCCTTCAAACTTGACTTTCTGCTTCCATAGGCTGCCATAGCGATGAGCTAAAGTCACTTCAACCAAATCACTGTAACAAAAATTTGAAAATATATACAATGTACTTCACTGAAGTTTACAAAGACTCTGACAATCCAGTAACTTGTGAGAATTTATTAATAAAATGAGAACGAAACATGTAGATAGATGATTTTCACAGCTGAGAAATATATTTTGAAAGTTGACATACTTATTTTGACATTGTAGTTTCACACTAAAGCATGAACAAACACTCAGTGTTATATTCATACTCATGAATGTAATTCCTTCTATTTTGCAACGAAACCTTTTGGCATACAAGAATAAATAAGCTTTGGGTTAGAGAGCTTCCAATTTCAGCAAAATACGAGCATTTAGAGGGAGTACTCAGCTGGGAAAAAACTTTTTCATTATTTTATATGTAGTTGAATCGGTTTAATTTCAGGCACATCAAACTGACAGACAGACGGATCAATGGAAACAGATCAACAGAAACAGACAAATGAACAGGCGATTGGATAGACATAAAAAAAGAATGAAAATATAGAAAAAAAGATCTACAGACAGAAAGAAGATAAAACAATCTGCAGTGACATACATTAAAATGTCTTTTCCAAGGACCGCTTGTAGATTATCGTAGAATCCATACTTTGCCCACTGTAGCGTTTGTTGCCGTACTTCATTTGTGACATCATAATCAAACTTTCTTGCAAACATTGCGTGAGTAGAGCTGGCCTGAATTTTTACCATATCAGCTATTTCAAATATTCCTGGTCCCTTCAATGTTACATAAACCATTTATGTTAAGTTTTGCATGGATGAACAAATTAATGACAGTAGAAATCAAATAGTTCACCATTGATGAAGAGTCGTATATCACGATCAGTTTTAGGTTTTTCTTCAGGAGATAGTTCCATAATTATGCGGATGTATTCTTGTTGCTAAAGAAAATGTGACATATTTTTGATAACAGATTGATACTATTTTTCAAATACTGCTTCTTACAATAGCACAATATTATCTTGGATTTTACAATCTCTAATCTCTAATCATCAAATTCATTTTTTTTTAAATTTAAATCTCACAGTAATTGCAAAGAAACTCTTACAAAAAATTCTTTATATTTTCAATAGAATTTTTAGATTTCCCATATAATTCTATACATTTCTGTAGAATTTCAATAGAATTTCTAGACTTTGCATAGAATTTCAATACATTTTTTCGATGACTTTTTTTTGTGGATTTTCAATACATTTTCTGTAAATTTGTGTTGATGTTCTATGGAATGAATATAGATTCTCTGTAGAATTGACTTCTTTTCAGAATTTCAATGACATTTGGTGAAATTGGTCAGGATCGTCAATAGTCACTGAATAATATTGATCATGGTCCTAAGACAAAGCAAAGGTTACCATGGTTTCGGTTAACATACCTGTCCACAAAAATCAATATCATCTGTATGTCGACAGAATCCAAATTCATCTCGACTGTCAAAGTTCTTCAGAAAATGTAGATGACCAGGAAGATAAGTATCTCTGAAAATAATGAATAACCATGGCAACATGATGGTAAAGTCAAGACAGAAATGCTATAAAACCATTTATTTACACTGTCATTTAATTTCACTATTTCGATGTTTTGAGTAATTTCACGGAATTTTAAGTTCATGAACTTGGCTGGAAAACAATGAGTTCTATTTTTATTCTGTTGTTCACATGCATTTTACATAACAGTGAAAATAGCAAAACTAAAGCTAGGTCAATAAAATGTGCTTAGTGAGATGTGGTATATGAAGAAGTGTACATACCTAAGATGTGATATCATGAGAGGTGT